TTAGTGGAACTACAGGTATCAATTCAATCTTAAAATTACTGCTCTGGAACACATTAAAATTTAGATTATTATTTAACACGCTTTGCAAGATTCAGAAAATTTTCTTTATCTCAGGCAAATAACACACAGAATCATAACACTTTAAGTTGTTTTTAGCTATTTCTCCTGACATTTACCTCCATATTTCTAACCAATATGATTATACTACTTTTTTCCATTTTAGACATTATCTGTTAACTTCCTACTGTAGAAAATGAAGACTTAGCTCTCTGAAACTATTCTCTCCGTCATCCCTAACCCTGTCCTCCACAAATCCTGTGCTTTGAAAATAGCTCTTTTGTAATTTCTTATTGTTACTACTTACTGTTTGCATTATTTTGGCTACACAAAATTTTCACAGCTAAGCCAAGTAGTGTACTATGATTACATTTTCTTTCTTTTAAAACCTTTTTTTTTCCTGGAGTTAATAATTGATTTTCCCTAGTTTCCTATGTAATTGTTACTAATTCTTCCACTTAAATTGTCTGATTTTATTATAAAATTCCTCTCAATGTGGTCACATACATCATATGATCTATTATTTCTATGTTTTTTCCTTAGAGACATCCTTTGTAAAGAACTTTAGAATCTACGTGAAATGATTGGCCACTAGACCTGGTACATAAATTTCATCCTGGAAATTCCATTCCCTGGTCATTGTGTTGAATTCCTGGCTTCCTTGTTGCCATGTCTTTCCCACTTTGTTTATTCTCTCATTTGAGTGGAACTATCCCTCTAGTAGTTTCTTGAGAAGAGGAAAAAAATTTAAGGCTCTTCATATAATTTTAAGGTAGAAATAAGTTCCCATCAAAATTTTGAAGGTATTTTAACTGTTTTATTTCCAGTGTTGCTAGTGAGAAATATAATAGCATTCAGATTCCCAATACCTAATATATAATGTATTTTTTCTCTGTCTGATAACATTTATGATCATTTGCTTACCTCTAAGATTCTGAAATTTCACAATAATGTTTCTTGGCGTGGTCTATTTTTATTCCTTGTGTTACTATACTCTGTGGATTCCCTTCAACCTGAAGACTTGGGTCATTAGTTCTCAGAAATTTTCTGAAAATTTTCTTTTAAAAATCTCTCCTCTCAATTTTCTCTGAAATACTCCTGAGAAATGTGGTTTCCCTCTAAGGTGACCAATGAATTTTCAAGTTGTAAGTAAATCTCTGGAATTTGTTGCTGCCTCTGCTATCTTTCCCAAAGAGATGATTCTAGAATAGTAAGAATCTGAAGCCAGAAAGAAATAGAGGACTTCTTCCACAGAGCAGGAAACACTACCTCAACTCCCATTTGACCTGGATGTTATTAACCACAGAGACCCTCATTCAGGGGTTTCCTCCTGGAAACCTGGGCTTCTTCTGGAAACCCTACCTAACATGTCCACCATCTTTGATACCACTCGTGGAAAGAAAGAGAGAAAGAAAGGGGAGGTGGAGAGGGAGGAAGGAGGGTAGGAAGGAAGGAAGGAAAGATAGAAAGAAGGGAGAAAAGAGAAAGGGGAAAAGAAAGAAAAGAAGGAAAGGAGCAAGGGAGGGAGGAATTGATGACCCCTTGTTTTGTGTTAATCTTTCCGTGGTATTTGTGGCCATGAGAAAACTTACTTATTATTTTTGTTTACATGAGTTTCTCCCATAAAATTGTAAGCTCCTTTAAGAAAGGTAGAATATATTATTTAAGTTTATATTCCCAATGTTTAGCAGAGTGTCTGCGGCCCATTAGGCACTAAATAAACACTTGTTGAATAAATGATTATGAAAAAACAGCGTTGCTGTCAGTTCTACAGTAATGCCCGCTTGATTTCAGCCAGAAGTATTTCATTTGCACCATGTTCTCCCAGGCTACAGAATCAGCAATAGTGATTATCGTCAGGCTCTTCTTCCCTAAGGACAACTGCCAGGCCAAAATATAAGGCACGTGTTTATTTCAGAAGTAAGTACAAAGGAAAGCATGATTGATATCAAATACAGGTCAGTGATTCTCAAATTAGAATGTCTCCAATTCTTGTTGTTTTTTAGTACAATAACGTTCAATTTTGATTAACTTTAAAATACATACCGTATGACATATAATGCTTATGTTAAGAAATGGTGTTACAAAATTAACCCAAACAATAAATTTGAAATCACTTTGTGTCTAAACATCTTATGCACTAATATCACAAAAAGAAAATTTGGACATTTCACAAATATTTTCCAGAATCGTTACATAATTAGAGATACGTAGAGTCTCTGTAATATGAATATAGTGGTGTTTGAACACACGAATTTAAGAAGTGAAAAATCCCCATGGAAATACACTTCATAAAATCTACACCCTAGAATGACCTACACTTTTCCAGATCCTTCATCCCAGTCTTCAGCAACTGAGCTCATTCTGGATGAAACTGTATAAAAAGGATTACCAAAAAAAATGTAATACAAATTTGCAAAATAAGTAGTTAGTAGGTAGAAATATAATTTGAAATAAGGCAGCCTGGCGAGGAGACTCACAGGGAAAGTCAGCTCTTTGACAAAGATGTTTCGATCTTACAGCATGGATTCCAGTCAATTCAGATGATTTAGAAAATGAGGCTAATATTCTCAGATGCAATTGACGATAATCCAATGTTCCTTTTTATTAATATTCTGTTCAGCCTTTAGAACACAGTGGCAGATTTCAACTATAAATCTTACAAATCAGAATTTAAATAGGAAGTATGGATAAGAAAGCTTGCAGAGATAAATTTTTAAAAAATCTGTGAGACCACAGGATATGGACTGAGCACTCAAAAGGTAGTGATGATGGTCATAATCACAATTAGGAAACTTATGTCTAAAACTAAAGACACTGTACCTTCACAAGAATGATCTGGAAATGTCCAAAGAAGCTAGATTAGAAGTTAGGACAGGAGTTAATGTTGTGTTGAATCTATCTAATTTACAATCCCTCTTGGCAGCTAGATTGTCTCAGAACGTGTTGAACTGTCTTCTTTGACGTTATAAAAATACTTACCTACTTGCCAAGGTTGAGTGAAATAAGTTAATTAATATTATGGTAAGGTCTTAACAGCAAAATTTGTATGTAATCTGTTCCCCAAGGGGTTAATAAAACTCTATTTTTCCTTAGTAAAAGAAATGACACCAGAATTCAGTCTCAACTTAAATGTAAATGTGGCTTAGGAATGACACAGTAACACCACTTGGCATTTCTTAAGTTACCCTGATCTTTCTACCCTGGATAAAAATAAAGAAAAGAAAGCATCTAAAACAGAACCGCCCTATTACAACCCAAATTTGCCCATGAAAGCAGAAATTTTCTGGCCTGCATCTATGCGTTTTTTCCACTTTCCGTAGCCTCCCACACTATAATGACTTATGCATGGAATTCAGGGACTTTATATTTTCTTTTGAGTGCAAAATGAATGCCAACATGGAAAATGTGAATGCTGACCATTTTCAAAGATGGTACAGACCTTTGAGGGAACCAAATAGTATCCAGAAAGATATTTGGTCAGGCTGGAGTACCAAATTCTAGTACATTCCTCAACTTCACTGGTCTTTACAGGATGGGAATATTTACCTTTCTGGCATGTGCTTAGTCAGAATAGCTTGAAATTTTTGGTGGGGAGTCAGAGTCCTTTTCAATAGACTGAAGTGACCCAAAACCAGCCCAGCAGTTAATCTTGTTTATGGCTAAAATCAATAAACCAATCCATGTTACGTGCTAACGGTTCTTATGTGGAGTAAAAACCAGACGTGTCTGCTCTTTGAATGGGATATTTCTTTTACAGTGCAGTAATTTGGTTTCATTATGGGACAACATTTAGGTCAGTCGTTTTTATAAGGCTGAGTTTACATTGGTATAATTTGTTTCCTTTAATGAAGGGTTTGAATAATTCAAGGCAAAAGAATGGATACCTGGAATGTGTTTATATTCTGACCTTATCTTATGCCTGGTTTTCTTGTTTACTTCAATTTTTATGGCCAAATTCTAACAGAAGTATACAAACCAAACTCCTTAGAAGCCAAAGAGAACGAGACTGAAATTTCTGAAGAATTGTCCCACTTGTGTTATCATGCGCATATCTTCTTTTTGGTTCACCTGAACTCTTGCCTGAGGAGTTTAGATTTTATTCATACTAAAGATATGTGGAGGGAAGGGGCAGAGGTAGACTCTCATTCCATGGAGACAAGAACGTTTGTTGGCTGTCTTAGCCTGGGCCTTAGAACCAGGGCTTAGTCTGAATCTTGGCTTACTTCCTCGATGTATAATCTTGGGCAAGTCATTTAATTTCTCTAAACTTCATTGATACTACCTTGCTAGCCAGTAGTAGCAGTAATAGAATGCATGTAAATGTGTTTATCCTAAGGCATTGTGTATGTATGTGTTATGCTTTCTTATCCATGAATTATGTGTTAATATGAGCTAAACTGGATTATTCCATGTTTCTCAGTCACTCCCTGGAGTAAATACATCCTGGTAATTTGGAATCTGCTTTAGCTCTTTCACACACTAATACATTACATGTGCTATCTCTACAGCTCAATTTTGCATGAACAGTTCCCTAGTGGCCTTTGTAATGACTTGTGTTCACAAAAGTAAACCAGGAAAGCATGTGAGCTAGAGCAACAAGTTTCTTCCGGTGACTTTTATTAAATATTGCAATCCAAATATTTTCTTTATGGAGTTTTAAATGTTCAATATTTATATTTTTATTCATTAATAGAACAATCAGGCCAGCTGCATTTAAAAGTATTGTCAATAATTTTTGACCAGAAATATAAAATGTGAAATTTTCTTCTAATATTAAGCTGCTTCTTAAAGAAGTAATACTATTAAAGTTATTAAACAGAAGCTTTATAAAATCTCTTACTTAATCTTTCATAGTACAGATTAAGTGCTCTCTTCTACAAGATATATTTTGACTTTAGAACTATATCCTGAACTATGCGTTTTTTTAAATTTTTTAATAGGTGGTGAAATGACAAAACTCACTCTCCTCTTCAATTAGTGAATTTGAAGTAATATTTCATCAAACTCCATCTCCTGTAGTCTCATATGGAATGTATCTCTCTATCTGTTGTTAAACTACGATGACATGTCTGTTGCTATCAGAAAGAGAAGCTGGGAAGAACATGTGACCCAATGGATGGGACAGCCTTTTAATTCTGATGATTATAACACAGCATGTCATCATGGACTAGGAGCTGACAGCTTGCAGGCAAGTATGGAAAAAGATGCAACTCTAAATGTGGACGGCAAAGAGAAGTGTGCTTCACTACCAGACTGCTGTCCTGGATCAGAGCTGAGAGATTTTCCTGGGAGGCCAATGGGTCACATTTCAAAAGAGGTGGATGAAAATGACAGCCAAGAAGGTGAAGATCAGTTTCTTTCTCTGGAGGCCAGCACGGAAACACTAGTGCACGTTTCTGATGAGGATACCGATTCCGATCTGTATCTTCCAGATGATAAACAGATTTTAATTACCCAAGAGCGTAAAACATCAGACCAACATAGTGTCACAGGAGCGGGCTCCTTGGTAAAGACACTGCCCATTATGGAAAGTAACCAAGATTCTTATAACTCCTGGGGAATGGCTGCTGGAGCTGATTTAGTGCTGGTAGAAGAAAGGGGGGAGAGAAAAGTTGTCGACATTATAAGTAAAAGCCTGGAGCTTTGTAATGATATAAGCTTAAGTGAAATAAAAGAGGCATCCAAAATCAGTGCATGCGATTCTTTGAATGTGAAAGATATTGTGCCTGAGAAGCAATTGCTTAATTCTGCTGTAATTGCTCAGCAACGAAGGAAACCCGACTTCCCTAAAGATGGACATGAAAGAAACACCTGCAGTCTAGTCCAAGATGAGTTCTTGGCTATTCCTTGTACAGACAGAGGACTGCCGTTATTGAAAGCAGATTCTGGAAGCTGCCTTCTGCAGCCTCCTTCCTGCCCTAGGGGAATGTCAGCTGAAAATGACCTGGAGAAGAGTGGTTTCTCAGAACATCAAAACAAAAGTCTTCCAAGGGTCAACTCAGGAGATGGTATGCAGTGTTTACACTTAAAGGAGACTCTGGCCACCCAGGAACCCACAGATAACCAAGTCAGACTTCGCAAAAGAAAGGTAAGACACATGCACAGATTATCTGGCTTTTGGAATTTTGTAAATATCCTTGTTTCCATCACTTATTATTTTGCTAGGATTAAAGAGATAGTGTAGTGTAGTGTACCTGTAGTGTAATTGTATAACTCAGACAGGATCTTCTTGGGGAAACCATCAAGATATGTAAAAGTTTAAATATAATAACCTATCCATTTTACTAGTAATATTTATTGTGGTTTATGAACATTCTATTTTGGAATTGTATTGAAGACAGAATTGGTTTCACTTTCTTTAGTTGGAATTAAATAGCCACCAGATAGCTCACACTTCAAGCCCTATCTAATTTTTAGAAAACAAGTCATGGTACTTTTTTATTTAATATCATTTATTTGGGCTTGTTTCTTTCTCCCTTTAAAAAGTATATTTTATCATAGTAAAAATAGTATAAATCACATATTAAAAATGATCCCTTTACATATACAAAGGCAATAGTACCCCCTCCATCAACCTAGATATGCTGATGCTATTTTAAATGATACCCTGGCACATTCACTATCAATACATATATCAACTTTTCTTTAACTCTTCACCAAAAAGGGCAAATAACTGAAATTATTTTTTATGCCAAGGCCCCTTTGACTAATCTATAGATGCCGTGCTCCGTTAAGAAGTTTCCAAATGAGAGAAGCAAAGATTGGAGTGGAGCTACATGAAGCATAGTTTAGCTAGTGAGCTGTTGACCAAAGTTTGCCTTATCTTTAGGATTTCCCCCAAATTCTTCCAACAATGTAGTGCTCTATAATCCTAGTGTCAATACAGGTACAATTTCTTCTGTAAATCCAACATGGCCATTGGCATTGAAAAAACCCTGCAGATTGGACACTTTAGGGTAACATCCTTGCCCCACTTTTGATACAATATTAATCTATAATTGCAATTCTGCTAACACAAAACTAATGTGCTTAGTTCTGTTCAACTGAGGCTATCTACACTGAGAAAAAAAATCTCCAACTCTCTTTGTGGTGAAGAAATCTGGTTTCCAAAAACTGTGGTTTTGCTAACAAACTAGATCAGTAACATGTCATAAGCTAGTTTAAGTGAAGTCAAAGACTTTACAGCAATGATCCGTGTGCTCCAATTGTATGCCTACAGAGCATTCTGTGCTTCTGGCAAACCCTTCCTTAAATTGTATTTAAATGTTAATGCTCCATAAAGTTGTTATGGTTGGAATGCTCAGGTCACTTTTTCAGAAATGCCCATATATCCTATCAAATCTGCTGGAGGGAATGCAATAATGACTTAAGAAAGTATTAACTGACCTATGACATAGTTCCCCTAAAATAAGACAAACCCTGCCCAACTGCTGACAGAAACATTAAACATTCCAGAAACATATGCTCACCACTTGGACATTTATATCAATACTAAGAATGCTGGAAAGAATTTGCTCTTGGACATGTCACTATAGCATGATTGCATTGTGAGCGCTGTAATTATATCTCATTTACAAGTTCTAACTTAAATATTCTATTTTAAGCATTTCATCATTCTAAAGTGTTATGGCATTGTCTGGTGGAATATTTGCGTTGACTCTACAACTCATTTGGGATGCTCTGTAATAAACAGATTAAATGCAAAATTTCAGATATGGAATTTATTCTGGAAAAATGCAGTTTTGGAAGAAGTGTCTAAAATCAAAATGTGTAGGAATTTTTGTTCTATTTGTTGTTGAAAGAGTGTTAAAATACCTTTGAATTGGCAATCAGCCATTTTAGAACTTTACCAAAAGAAATAATAAAACAAATTCATAAAAATATATGTACAGAGATGTTCATCATTTTATTGTGTGTTACTGACAAAGAAAGGGAACAACTCAAATTTCCACCAGTAAAGAATTTGCTTGATTATTGTTTATCTATAGTATGGAATGCTATGAAGCCACTAAAAAGATGGGGTGAGATCCACGTGCACTAACTTTGAATGATGCTCATGCTATAGTGCATCTGGAAAAAGACAGTGATAGACCAATACATATAGCACATCCCAACCTTATATGACAAAAAGTGTATATAGATAGACATAGATATAGACAATACAGATGATGATATAGATATAGATATAGATATAGATATAGACAAGGGTATAAATCTCTCTATATTACAAAATAAGAATATGCAAAATTCTGGCTAAATAGGCACAAAATTATTAACAGCAGTTACTTTGAGAGAATGGAATTAAAATGGTAGAAGCAGGGGATTTTCACATTTTAGCCTATATAATTTTTATAAAAGGTGATAGAATTATGAGTGAAATGCATACAATGAGCAGAAGTACAAAAACAAAATAATATTAGATATATAAGCGATTTGAAGCATTTTCTACATGGCACAAAATGACCTTTTATCTATATAGTTATTATGATTATTATTACATTTATGAAATGTAAACAAATATTTACAAAGTTTTTCAAAATATCAACAAGGGTTCCAATCAGCTACTTGATTCCGAATGCCAGTACAGCTAGTTTAAAGTAGATAAACCTTTTGGAGAGACACACAAGCCACATTTTCATGTCTGAAGCGTTAGGTGCCGGATTCTGAAAAGAGTTTGCTTAATTGTCTGTATCTTTAAAACTATTTGTCAGTCATGATGACAGCTTTAAGATTAGCGTTCAGAAAGGTGAAATAGAATATAAGCTAATAAAGTTTTAGTTAGAGAACTTTAACCAGCTGATTATCTGATGGTCATGTGAGTGAACCAAATCCTTCATTGAGTTTATGAGCATGAATTTTTTTGTGTGTCAGGATATAATCAAGGTTCTAAGACTTGAAAAAACTGAAAACAAAAACAGATCTTATAAGAGTGATCCTCAGAATGTACTGAAATAGTACTCTAGAAATATCATTGTACCTTAGATATAAATTATCATTCCTTGAAACCTATAAATCTTGGCAGGCATTCATTGTTTTGCATGATGTATTTTTTCCTGTTTTCCAATGATATTTCTGCCCATCAAGGACAGCCACACATGTATTTATTAGGAGTCTCAATTGGAGAGGACTGCATTGGTAGTATATGTAAATATTAACCTTTTAAGCTAATAATTTTCCTAAATATGATGAAATATATCATTAAATAGAAGCCACTGAAATCAAAGGAAAACCAAATAGATTATAAGCAGACATTAGCAAAATGAGTCAGAAGGTCGTGTGGTATATGACCAATGCTTATTGGGCGTGGGTGGGTTTTTGGGGTAAGGCAGCTGGTTGAGAGCAATTCTCAGAGACAAATTCCAAAGAAATTTGGAGGAGGGAGACAGTCTAAGAAGTGGTCTCTTTAAACCAAATGAGATGTGAAGATGGAAAATATGTAGGGAAAGACTTGAGGTTAGACTTTTTTAAAGAACTAGTATGTTTATTCTGATGGTGGTTTACTAATTAAAGAGAGTCCAAAATTCAGTCTTCTCTAGAGACTATTTAAACAGTTCCCAAATTTTTGAATAACAATAACATTATATAAATATATGAACATATTTTTATTTGCTCACATAAGACATAATCCATATTACAAAGCAAAATATACTCCAAAAGATAATGCAAAAATGATCTGAACATTTGAACAAAAACCTCGCATTTCAACAATAAACTAAACTATATCATTTAAGATATAGAATTGACTGTTGTCATAGAAAACCGGGATAAAAGTGGCTTAAACAGCATCTTTCTCTCACACACGTGATAATTGGGTATAAGCAGTTCTGGCAAACATGTGGGCTCTGTGTTTTCAAAACCCCAGACTTCTTTTATCCAGCTGCTCTGCCACCTTGAGCCCTTATCCATATTCAAGTCAGTGGGAAGACAAAAGGGTGCAGAGGTGGCCACACTCTGAGTAAAGGCAGAACTCAGAAGGTGCACACTTCTTTTTCTCTCGTATTTCATCTGCTAGAACATCTTTGGATGGCCACACCTAGCAATAAGGGCTGAGAAATAGAGTCTGCATTCTGGGAAAGCAGGTGTCTGCTAAAAATTCCATTATCAAGGAAGAAGGGGAAATTTTATACTGAGGGATAACTCATAACACAAATATGTTGAGGAACAACACCCTAATATAAATATATTCTGGTATATCAAGGCATGTTGTGAAGGGAATAAACAGGCTGCATATATGTTCTGTAGTATTCTGTATAAATACTAGATGCTTTAATTTCACACTATAGAATACCTTTCCATGTTAGGAAACTATTTTATATGTTGACGTGATATCAATCAAAAGCTACACTTTTTCTTCCGGAAAAATCACCGAGGAGCAAAACATTATACTGTACATACTGTACTTTATCTCTGGACAAATGTAATATATTAATTAGCAAAGATTGAGAAAAATCAAATATTTTCTCCTTACTCTGTCTTTAAAATATGTATAAATTTGGTAAAAACGCACCTGTACCTGAAATGAACTTCTCATTCCTTTCTATGACCTTCTTGTTCCTTTCTGTCTCCTGGATGCCTATATGGGAGCCTTGTAGCATGGGGAGGCTAACATTGACTGATGGGTGACATAAGAACGTAGTAAATTATGCAGAAGATACAATGGACCAAGATAGGAGGCCAACTGGAAGAATATAAAAGGGAAGGAAAAAATTGTCTAAGAAATTAAAACCAAAAAGATGGTTACATTAAGGCACCAAGATATGTTGAATGAAAGCAAGGACTAGAAGAATTAGCGTTTGTTAATAAGCCTAGTATCAGCTGACAAAGAGGGAAGGAATGAAAAACAGGTAAGTATATATAGCACTGCAGATAGATTCATAATAACAGTGTGATTTAACACAGAGGTCACACTGGTTTTAAAGACATAGCCTTGTTGAGCAGATTGTATTGTTTCTAAACTTTGTTTCCCTAGGTCCAGGATTAGAGCTGGCAGAGAAAAGTTGTTACCAGATGGAAAGTGCGTGTGTAGATGGATAACACCAGGTCTTCTCAGCCATATTTTTAGCTGGGTTTGTGTCCCAGGTAAAGCTG